TAATTATCCTGCAATCCTATGACAGTGCCTCTCACCGAGTTATCTACACCACCTTCATAACAGCCCCTCATGATATGGCTCTGAGATCTCAGGCCTCCAACTGCAGGGAGGGTGTCCCCTACTGAGTCAAAACCAGCTGTCAGGTTACTAAACAGATCTGTGGCCATAGTCTTTTGCAGCCCACAGCATAACACAAAAGAGGCTTGGGATCCATCTTCCCACCTTGCCATGAAAGCAGGCAGTGGTCACAGCCCTGTTCAGACCCACAGGCTGGGTCATGCCTGTCCCCTCTCCCTTCCCTGACATACCCACATTTACCTTCTTCCCCAGAGCGCAGCCTTGGGATGATGCCCCTGGAGGGTTGGGGCAGTTTTCCTGGAGGGCTGACAGGGGCAGCAATCTGCTGCTGCTCAGCAAAGGGCTGAGCCTTTTTCTGCAGTGGAAGCCAACAGGGAGCATGAGATTTGCTGACCGGGAAGGAGGCCTGCCATATCGAGTAGCCCACTTCCTGGCCTGCACATTTAAAAAAAACAATTTAAAAATGTTTTGGGAATATCTGCAGTAGTTATTTCACTGAAACTAGACTTTATGGCTTCTTCAAGAAAGAGAAAAGCATTCAGTATAATTTAGTTAGCAGACAGAAAGTATGTTAGGGGGATTTATGAAATAAGCACATAAGCATTCTTTTCTTTTCAATAAAAATAAATTCACTTAGTGTAGGAGACGGAGCTGCGCTGCACGCTAGGTATTTATGCATATTTTTGTCTGTTGACATACCTCTAAAATAAGAGAAAAATTAAATGTTGAAGACTACTGTTGACTTCTAAACAAAAAGGAAGGCTATATTTCTGGGGCTTAGATACAATATTGAATACAGAGCTATTACTGTAACTCAGACATAAAAGCAATTCATGCTTCTAGAGAAAAAGTTTAGGAAAAAACATGATACCACTACATACATATAGCCCCATAAGTTTTCAAAGACACATATACTGCATGTAGGGCCTCTGGTGCCTACTTGTCTGGTGCTGTAAATTTTGAAATAACATAACTTCATAACATAACATAAACCTTAAAAGGTTTGAATATCAAGGAAACAAAGGGGTAACTGAGCAGGCTACAAGAAATACAACTAGGTAGAAGGGGATGTAAGTAAGAATGGAGTAATTTAGGCTTAATATATAGGAAAAAATCATATGCTAGTCAGCAAGAGAGCTAATCTTGCTATGTCAGGATTTGACCAGAGGTTTGTTCCTGCCTATTGCCAGAAGGTGTGTTATTGCCTAAAACAAGTTCAATTTGTCTGTCCGTGCTGTGTCAGAACACGAAGACTCCAGCCACCAGCTGGGCCTGTAGCCTCAGCAGTCAGTGCAAATAGCAGCCTGTGGTTGCCATATTACCTGACATCACCATGGCACTGTGCCAGGCAAACGGCATGTTTTCAACACAATGTTTTCACTTCATTTAGGAATTAAATGGATCACCGGGGAGAAAACGTAGCTGAGGAATCAGCAGACAGCAGATGAGGAGAAGGAGAATCAGCAGCCTTAGCAAAAACTTACTAAAGGCTGTAACACAATGTAGTGAATGATACATGTACAACAACCAGACTTCACATAACTCTTCACTGAAATAAGTACATTAAATTTGTTTTATGTACACAATATGGCAAGGATCCGAGGTGTCACAAACTGTCCTACGTGAGTTACATTCCAATATAGAAGAAAATAAAAATACAGTATAGACATTGAGGATTGTTATCATATGGTATCTTATAGTCTCTCCATAAACTCGTCAAGTTCAGTGCAAATGAACAACAGACTGAAAGCACAGCTTTGGGGCCTGTTCCAAAAATTCACACCTTACAGGGTCAAAACCCTTCCCCCGAATTCCAGGCTAATTTTACTGATGTCCAGTTTAAATCCATTAGTTCCTCTGCTAATACAATCCTTGAGTTTAACCAGTACCTTCCCTCTCCGGTGTTTACTACTCCAGTCTGTTCACCAGTAAGATAATTATCAGCACAAATACAGCATAAATACTACATTTCTACAGGATGCACCTTCATCTGCTGTGTCGTAGGAGTTGATGAGCCTTTTACATAGTCACACTGCATTGGAAACTCACAATTACCAGGTGATTGACTAATATTTCAGAAGTAACTCTATCATGT